TTCGACAATGCCTACAAAAAAAAAAAATTCTAAAATCATAAAAGAAAAATTAAATTACTAAATTCTCCTGATGAAATTATAAAAATTAGCAGAAATCGTTATAAATTTCGAAAAAATTATCCAAAAAAAGTCAAAAATTCCAAAACTGCCCGGGCTATCAGTGTGGGTATCCCATGTTAGTGCTGTTACTGAGACCTCTCAGGAAGCTGCCCGAACGGTTGTTTTCCTTCTTACGGGTACCAGTCATTCTGTGCTGAATTTAAGTTTAACGTTTAAAAGTTCATTTAAGCAAAATATCGCAAAAAAATAGAAAAAAATAAATCTATTTTCTTCTATTCTCGCAAAAAATTAAACTTCGAAATACCGTCAAAAATCAAAATTTAAAAAAAACCTCGCGCTTCTTCGTAGCAATTTGCTGTTCAAGTTCGTTAATCTGCTGTTTTGAAGCATTTCGAAGATTTTCCATTTCAGCTTGACACTTCTGCATTTCTTTCGACATTTTCGTAACAGTTTTCGTTAAGTCATCATTTTTCGACCGATATTTTTTAAGCTCTTCTTCCGCAACACGAATTCGCAAAGAAAGTTGTCGAACTAAAACAGAGTTGTGGAACTCATTATAATGGAAGCGTGCTTACTTTGTTGCAAAAAAATCTCTTTTCTGACAAAAAATGTGCGCAGGAAGCAATTGCACTAATCTACACCATCTCCGATTCCTCCAGTATGCTCTGAGCAATTCGAACTTTTATACCCACGTTTAAGCCGCAAAAAAAACAAATATTACAAATATGGGCAATTACTAAAATTCGGCTCGATTTGGACGGGTTAGGAGGCGAATTGCGACGATTCTGGCACACCCTCTCGAACGATGAGGCAGCGACAGAGGTACGTAGAAACGGGTGGAAAAGCACAGGAATGCCGGCTTAGGTCGCCGGGGTCACAAAAGAAGAGAGACGACTAGAACACTGAATGGAAAGGAGCTGAGATCTTAGATAAAGGTAGGAGTTTGAAGCATAGGTAGGATTATAAAATGAATTGAACGGAGTTCTACAGGCTTATGGTGTTCAGCAATACCTAGACATTGCGCAAAAGTTAGTAAGCTTATCCCTATGCCCCAAAATCTCAATAGAATGAAAAAGCTGGATACCTATGTATGACCAAAATTTTTACAGTTCTCACCCAAATTCAATAAATGGCAACGATCACCAGACTAGCCGGTGCGATCATGCGTTTTGCGCAATTCAGCCCATTGAACGATTGCCTATTAATGATTTTCACTGCTTTGTACTTAAGTCTGTGCAAAAACAGTTCAAACATTGGGAAACAGTTAAAAATTTCACGCACCAGCGCATGAAAGCTGAATTCGAAACCT